AGTTTGACAAGGTTTCAGTCCACAGTTGGCTTGCCCCAAGGTGAGGTGGCATGGCAGAGGGACATGGCAGCCGAGAAACAGTTCATGGCAGGCAGAAGGTAGGAAAGCCAGCAAGCAAGGAGCAGGTCAAGTCTCTTTTTGACCCTATGTTATATCCAGGCTATTCGGATTAGGGCAGTGCCAAATTGGTCAGTGGACTGATTAGTAATTGCCCACCCTCAATTTTAGAGCCCTTAATCTTAGCGTTGCAATATAAATCAGTCATACACTCTCGATCCAGCGCCTCTGAAAAAGTCCCACCTACGACTGAATGAGGCTTTGTGGGGGGGATCAAGACACAAGTGAAATAATTAGTGACCAAAACAAATTCCCTTTTAAATTGAATTTACATTCTTGTTTAAAAAGCAGATTTTACTAAATGAGATTTGAAGATAATTAAAAATAATATAAGTATAAAATCTTGGAAAGTGGGAATATAACTTTAGGTGTGAATACTAAATTTCCCTCTAAGAAGAAATCGATAAGAAGTGATTTCATAATGTCTATAGTAGTATTGTTGGGCCGCGGAGATAGCTCAGTGGTCTAAGCACCTGCCTAGGCAAGGACAAGGACCTGGTACTACATGCCATGTCACCCCAGTCACGGGCATGCCAAGCTGTACACCAAGACTGGGCATGGCATTGTACAGCTGTAATCCCAGCACTGGAAAGGCTGAGACAGGAGGATCATTACCAGTCTGAGCTGTGTAGAGAGACCCTGTACCAAATACATACAAACACAAAAAATGCAATAAAATAGTATTTTCTAATGGTGGGAATGTTCTGTTTTATGGATATTTTCATGAAAATGTTTCAAGTGTATATCTGTGCTGTTTAATATAGCAGCCACTATCTACACATGACTATTGAGAACATGAAATGTGTCTCTTGTGACTAAGAAACTGTAATTTAGTTTAAATTCACATTGTGACATGTGGCAAATAACTACTGTACTGGCTAGTATAGTACAACATAAATTTAAAATGAACAAATTAAGAGATAGCAGCATAAGCACATTTTTAAAAAGAATTAACCAGAAAACCTATTAATCACAGTTGCCTGTGGGTGGGTAAAGGATTGAAAGGGAAAATTTCATTACGAGCCATCTTGCACTGCTTGATTTTCTACTGCATGCATATATTTTGTTGATTACTACTTAGACTTTTGAAAGACTAGATTGCAACCAAATGGGTCTTTGAAGGAGAGTGGAGAATCATCCTTTTTCAAGTGAGATAAAAGTTATACTTGAAATGTCAATTCAAGAGAATAATTTGGCAAGAATGAGGGATGTAAGCTTCAAATAATTCTTGTCAGCAGGAGTCTTGCATAGAGAGTTTCATTGTTTGTTTTGAAGTAGCTAACAAGGTAAATTATGGTCAGCAAGGTGAACAGCTTCTAGCTATAGAAAAAAGTTCCAAATTTTTATATGTTCCTAGAACTATAGAGCTGTGAGAACACTAAAAAATATGGTTCTGCATCTCTGCCTTGTTCTACCTAAACTATCAAATATAAATTATCATCATGAAGCCATCGCTCATGCCCAAATGGGATTCATTGTCTTAAAACTTAATTTACATTTGAAAATTATAAAATACTTGTATTTATCTTTCAGTACAATAAATTCTTTCTATGAGTAGTTTCTGCTTTGTTCTAGTGACAGGTTATATAGCTAACTTTCTGAAGTTTTTAATTTTTCTTTATGGGAAAGGGAAGAATGTAGGGGAATGGGAATCTGTATACCAATCCTCGTTAAATTAAGATTAGAGGAATGAAGGCTATGCTTCTACTCATGGTTCAGGTGGATTGGTTTCAATCTATTACTTGTTTCCAATTTGAAAAAAAAATGTTTTAAAGACTTTCCAAAAGAATAGGTAGAGATAGGGAGATGAGAAATTTTTCTTAAGAAACTATTTGAACAATACATGTAAATTTTGTTAACATAACTCTCTCTTAGAGAGCCATGTCATTATTGAACCATACATTGGAGTGGGCTCAGAGCTAAGTTATGGGTAAGGGTGGAATAATCCTTTTTACTTCTGTCTTTAAAAATTCCATTGTAGTGCAGTTGGTGGCAACCATTAAGGAGCTATTCCACATAGTCTGGATCACGTGCCCTGTGTTAGAGCTGAAACTGAGTTTATCTGGGTTTGCTTCACATTATAAAAGACTACTGAGTTATAACTGCAGATTGATGTGGTCTGATGGTTAAATGAAACTGAAGCAAAACAGATCAGCTACAGTTGTAGTAGCTGTGTTTATTTGCTCTCTAGAAATGGAAATTCCATAGGGGAGAACATATTTATTGAAAACAAGATATTATTGATACTAGTAGACTAATATCTCAGAAGTACTGTTTATATTTTTTGAAATGAAATGATAATAGGCCCAAATCCAGCCTTACCATAAAGAAACAAAGGGATGTATTGGGGCTCGGGTGAGCCCACTCTGTTTATACAGGTTTTCACATGACTTTTCTTTTAAAAAGTACATGGAATGCATCCAAAACAAATAATGTTTTGTTAGATGAGAAGACCAAAAGGAAAAGCCTACAGAAAGGAGGATGGATGATCTTTCTTTAATGTCAAAACTGACATAAACATACTCCCCTCCCCCAATCTTTTGCTCAAGATAATTTTCTCAACAAGACGCAGATTGCTTCAGTCTTTGCCTATCACTCTTTGAAGCACTGTCCTTATTATTAGCAGTGGGGGCAGGGTTTCCTTTGAGGATTTTTACAGCAGTGAAGAGTTCCTCCTTTAAATACTTTCACATGATGAGGGAATTCCATGTTCAAAGCGCTGTCATCCCTGTGGCTTTGCTACCATAAGACAGTTTATTCTTGGTTGAAGGTCCTTCATAGCTCAATTGTCATGAAGGACTTACCTTTCTGATGGAATCTCTTTCCATAGAGCTTTGGTTTTTTTCTGAAAGATTTAGGAAAGCAACTCAGCAGTGTCCTTTGTTACCCTTATTGTTGATATTAGCCATGATTCTCTTTTAGAATTTATTTCTTCAAAAGTAATTAAAATCTTCAGTGTGGTTGTTTTCTTGTCAATATCACTGATCAAGAATTGTGTAACATTAGGCCCTCCAGATAGCTCAGCAGATGCCTGCTTAGGCAGGCGCAGAGACTAGGGTTTGATCCCCCATGTGCCATGCCGGCTCTGCCCACCAGGCGCGCTGAGAGGGCGACTGAGACTGGGCATAGTAGTGTGTGCCTATAATTCAAGTGCTTGGGAGGCTGAAAACAGGAGGATCACTATGAATCCAAGCTGTGTAGACCTTGTACTAAATACATAAAAAAAGAGTTGTGTAACATCAAATAATGGGGAGAAATTAATTTCCTTAAGAATTCCAATAAGTCTCAGCATAATAAACTTGTGAAATGTGAAGTCTAGAAGCTTAAGAGTTTTCAGGTGGTTTGTAGCAATCCTGAACTCAAATTTTGAAAATTAGATTCCTTTCCTCACAATGCAAAAGGACCCTGAATTTGGATGAATTTTGAAATGCCATTGTCAGTTTTTAGTGTTAGGGTATTTTTAGTATTTCTCCCAACATTGAAATAGTTATTGAACATAAAACCTGATTGTACATTCAGAAATTTGTACAAGCTGGGCATGGTTGTGATGCCTATAGTCCTTGTATTCTAGGAGACTAAGACAGGAGGATTGCAAGTTTGAGCCTGGGCCATTTATCAAGACTTTGTCTCAAAAATAAATAAAACATAAAATAAAACATAAAACATAAAAGATTTGTTAAAAAGAATAGGGATAAGGGCTAGCAAGATAGCTCAGCAGACTAAGCACTTGATTAGTGCATGTGCCAAGGTTTGATCCCTGGCGCCACATGTTGTACTGCCTCCCCCCGCCCCCCCCCCAAACATGGTGGAGCATGCCTGTAATCCCAGCACTAGGGAGGCTGAAAACAGGAGGATCATTATGAATCCAAGCTGCATAGTGAAACCCTTCACACACACACACAAAAGGATAAGGATGTAACTCATCAGTTCAGTTCCTACTACTACCAAAAAAGAAAAACAAATGTGGAGATCTGATGGTTCATTTTCCAATGGGTTTTTAAAATTGTCAATTAATTTTATTTTCATTTTTAATTATTTATGTATTTATATATTTATTTACTCAGTACAGGGTCTTGCTATCAGCTGGGACTCGTAGTGGTCCTACCTCAGCCTCCCCAGCAGTGGGATTCCAGGCATGAGCACCAAGCCCAATTTCAGTGGCTGGCTCTGTGCAGGACTGGAGAGGCATGTGGTATCGGAGATCAAACCTGGGTCCTCACACTTGCCAGGCAGGTGCTTAGATGAACTATCTCCCCAGCCCAATTTATTTTTTAAATGATTTGAATATATTCAAATTGAAACAAGACCCTATTCAAAAGAAGGTGATAAGGAATGCTGCTCCATGACTTTTTTTTCTAAGAAGTGAGAGTCTTTCCCACAAAATATAAATAAATTAGGCTTTCAGACAAATCTGTTCCCCCAAATTAGATGAAGATGCGGACAACCAGATATTCATCTTTTTACACTTTAATCATCCAAAGTACTCACTGAAAAGGCATGCTTTCTGAAGAAGCGGGAGTAATTTATAAGTTAACAGACCAATTAACTGTGTTTTGGAAAATGTCATAATGGAAGATTAATAATGCATCAGGGAGTCTGAAGACAAGAGAAAGAGTGGTAACAAAAAGATTTCTAAGCTTGGTGATGCTCTATAAAACTATTTGATGGTCTAAAAATGTCTCATGAAACACAAACTCCCAGTACAGCTGTAATATGAATGTGAATAAATGGTTATTTTTTAAAAATAATTGTACTGTTACAAAATATATTATTCTCCAGCATTTGATATTTACTTTCAGGCTGAAAGAGTTAAGCATGAGCCATATAGTGAGGATTTGCATAGCATTCTGACTAAGGTGTGTGTCTCTTCTCTGTTCTGCCAGGTTGGCCCTCCTTCCACGATGTGATCAGCTCGGAGGCAGTCACATTGACAGATGATTTTTCCTATGGGATGCACAGGGTGGAGACAAGCTGCTCTCAGGTCAGTGAACCCTCCTGTCATCTCAGTTGGATGCTCACAGCACTGAAAGCACTTTCAAGACTCAGAGTTTTACAAAATACAGCGACCAAGCTCATGATCATTTCTAAGGACAGATAAGCACAATGAAGTCTTATCAAAATCTGAATGATTCCTCCATTTTAGGTGTTACGGTTGGGATTAGGGGTAGGGCATATCCAATAAAGTATCAGTCCTTGGCTTTGACACTATTAAATATTATTGGTAGGAAAGAAAATCTTCATTTGATTCAATATTGCAAGTTGTGAGCTACTATTCTTGGGGCATCTGAAGATTTTATTTAATGGCCTTGTATAACCTGCTGTTTTGATAATCATCATGTCTGATCCTATACTGATGGCTGTAACACACACACAGGCACTAGGGACTCCCAGTTGGCATCTCTTGGGTGGACGTTAGGAGGGAGGTTGAAAGAGGCTGCAGGAAGCAGAACCTTCCTTAGGCTATTGAGGGTAGAGTGGGCCTGTGACATAAAGTCATTCTTTTCTCTGCATCTCCTGCCATATAGACCACTCCCTATTTCCAAGGTTGCTCTAATTATTTATGTCAGTTCTTCTCTAAGAAATTAATGCTGGCTCAAAGGAAGAAATGAACACATTTTGAGGAGGAGGCAAGAATATTTCATTGAGAACCTTAAATTTTATGAGCATTTTGTCCTTAAACACAGAACTATAACTAGAACTTTATAGATACAGAATAAGAACAACTGCATAGTCTGTCCTAGGCAGTCCTGATTTCTAATCTGCTTTATATAAGCATAATGCACAGTTTGAGAACTGGCATTGACGTTCATTAATACTACAGTGTTTTGTCTGGACACGTCTGTTGCATGCATGGCTCCGAGATAAAGGAGGCAACAGAATGAATGCCATGGATGCCTCCCTCAGGATTCTTCTACTCGCCCTTTAACCATTTTTCTTTAACTGCCTCTTCAAGCACAAGATTTTAGGGAGTGGGTGGCATATTTACTACCAAATAAAGAGGGAGATGGGTTTGAACCTCACCATCTGGTGAATTTCTGTTTTCAGTTTGTTTGTTTGTGTTTTTAGACAAGGCTAGCAAGTTTACTGTCCTCTAAATATGAGGACCGCTCTCTCCATGGAAAAGCATATTTTATCTAAATCACATTTTCAGTTCATTCTTATTCCTCAGAGATGAGACTCTGAGTATGATAATGGTATTTTGTGATGCCGAGTTCATCTCCAGAGACTCTAATTTAATTGAACTGAGTGGAGCCTGCATAACAGCATTTCTGGACGCTCCCCACGTCAATGTTTTGAGTAATCTTGTGAGGTAGGTATTTCTATTCACCCTAGATTTACAGTTGAGACAACTGAAGTACAAAAAAGGCAAATAAATTTAGATAATAGCATTCATTAACTAAATTAAGATTGGTCCAGTCCTATTTCCATTTTTCTAAGAGGTTTCAGAAAAGATGTGTTCTGTAAGACACGTGGCACACTGCTTGATTGTAGTCACCAGAAAACCACACAGCTGGGAGCGATTCCTCACTACTTTCCTTACAATGGCCACACGAAGGAGCTGGGCTACTCTGTGCATCCTGAGTTGTGGTGCAGTTTATTCATTCTTTTGCGATTCTGCCTCTGCACTGCCTCTGCATTCAGTTCTTCCTTCCAGAAAGCATCTGTGCCATCAGTTTACCTGCTGTGGTGGGCACTTGTGTCTTCTCCTGGTGACAGCCATTTTCTAATGATTTTCAATTACAAACAGTTTTCCTTAATTTTATTTATATTTTCAGCTTGTGATAAAATTCATTGCTTTTATTCCAGTTTTACTGACTACTGTGAATAACTGTTTGACCATATCTCTCTAATCCTCAAACCCCAACCTGCTAAGCAACACTTTGACAGGAGTTTAAATTCTGAGTGAAGAGGTAAGATATGCATGGTCAAAGCTGAAGTCAGTAAAATAAGTTTCTCCTGGAAATACTTGGGGAATTTTTCCTTCTTAAGATCAAAATTCTACATCTGGAGTAAATGGGAGACTAATAAATCATTTGTCTTTTTGTAATAATCTTGAAGTGAATTGTTAGATCCCTGAGTTTACCCTAGTTGGGTCTGTTTGTGACTGCTGCTATCATTACTTGACTCTATGGTGGAGTCCCTCAAGTTTGTGTTAGATCATTATTAACTTGTCCTAAGTCAGCCAAATCAACAGAAAGGTAAATATCCACCAATGCAGTTTTTGGTAAAACTCCAAACCTTATTAATCTTCTGCAGATGACAACTCATATATTGCTGATGATTAAAGATACCCATGTGTTGCAATGGGGTTTCAAACTCACAGCCCATCTCTCTTTTTCTTGATCTTTCAGTAAAATCATAATGCTAAACCGGTGACTTCACAATCATTTCCTTAGCAAAAGATTAATATCACAGGCACAGAGGAAAAGAGCCGTTACCTGCACCCAAATGTCTTCAATAACAGTGGGAGAAAACAGAATACTACTGGCAAAATAAACTGCATTTCTTCTTAAAACTATTTTCTTTCTCATCTGCCCTATGTGCCGAAGTGTAAAGACCCCTCTTTGAAAATGTTTCATGGTATAGATCAAACGCTAAGAGAAAATGACAATAATAAAGCCCAAACATCCTAGGAACAGCTCAGAGAAAACCTTCTAGGACAGTGGGAAATACATCAGTGCAGAAATATGTAACTGTGTTGAATGTACTATTTGTGTTTCTCAGGCACATGATTGAGAATTGCAGTCAGATTTTAAGGAATTATGTTAAATTTGACGCTCAATCACTTTTTTTTAGGAGGTCCTTTCATTTGGTTCTCTGCAGGCTCTTGCCAGCTTTTCAGAGTGGGAAGCTTTGATGTGAAAGATTACTGTGGGAATTAAAGTTTCTCTTTTAAATCATTATCTCATGGTTCTTGACTGAGGACTAAAATATTCAGGTATGATTTATATTTACCTGTAAAATAAAGAACTACAGAACCGCTAAAAATAACTTTCAAAACACATCAAAAATTCTATCCTGAAATAAATCCTTAGCAGCAGTTTTCAGAGATTTCTTCATTGGGCAACCAGTTTGTTTCCGTTACCACCAGGTGTGTGAGGGATTCCCAGCACATTGCCAGTTGGCTGGGCGGAAGGCAGAGCTCGCAGGCAGCGAAGGAAGCAGTGCATCACTGACAACTTCCATTCATCATCCCAGCCTGGGCCAGGCTAGAAGCTGGAGAGAATGGGCTCCATGTGCTCTCCCCGCGGGGAAGAGCAGCCAGGGCTTGTGCGCTGTTGGGGAACCTGCGCGCGCTGCTGCAGGAGGCTCAGGACCCGAGAGGAAGCACTCACACATGTACTGCGCGATTTGTCTTCTCTCAGACAGACAGTCGTGCTGCTTGGCAGGCCAGCGGAGGGCATGTGTGTGGTGGCACAGACTTCATAAATGAACCTCTGTCTGTGATCTGAAATGTTCCACACTTGTAATCTCATTTTGGTGTGAGTCTTTCAGAGACAATCACTTTGAAACTATTACTGTCATTTTTGGAGGGACTCACACCTTTTCTGAAGCTTTTTATACCCATCCCCAACCTGTTTATTTATTGCAAATGATTTTTTCTCCTTTTCCTAACCCCATTTCCCCCCACTGTTTTTAGAATCAATGTTTTCCATTCTGTGTAATAAGAAAACTAGTTCCAAATTAGGAAATGAAAGGACAGATCAAAAACCAACTCAGTACAAGCTTGAGTTACTCTAATTTGGATTTTAAAAAAATTATTTGGGAAATAAAGAACATAGAGTCTACGCTTAAACAGCTTCTAGTATGTCTTTGCTAGACTTTGCATTTGGAGTAATACAAATAGAACCATTTTCTCATTCTCAAAAGGTGATTAATAAAGGAAGACAATATCATATATGTAGCTCAAGTAGCTGTATTCTCTCACTACGCACATGCACACATGCGCACGCATGCACACACACACACACACACACACACACACACACACACGCAGGCTCTGATGTGAAAACTTCACTTCTCAGATGTCAGTGATCAAAGTGCCAGAGCCGCATGTGAGGCCAATAATTGTGCACATACACTGGTCACTGAGACCATAGGTTCCTGTTGGCTTGCACCTGGCTGTTTCAGCAGGCAGAAATAGGTGTTTTCCTGTGTCCATTGGGTGAGCATATGTATTTTTACTGATGCATCATAGCTGCTGATACCTAAAAATTTGGCCTCAGTTATTTCTAGAAAGGAAAAGCAATCTGAGCTGTCAACTTTGATATTACCTAAACCTGCATAGAATGTGGTAAAATAATGCAAGATTTGTTTTTTAGGCCTGTTTCATATTTTCCAGGTAATAGATCAAATCAGTTCAGGGCTCAGTTTTAGTTCTTTAATAAGCTGATACAGTATGTTGGCAGTAAAATAAAAATGCACTTTTAACATGGAAGTGCCATATAGTCAAAGTTGCAATTTGTGCTATTTATTAATAAATAGGGATCACTTGGGAATTGCGTTTAGTACTTTCAATGGCAAAACTGGAGTGAGCTCTCATTCTGGTCCTTTCCATTGTCATGCACATTCTCCCTCATCATCTCACTTGGCGTCTAAGCCCTAGTTCATTGTCAGCTCTTACTCGCTTTTTCTTTATAAGCATTTTGTTCACTGACCTAGCCCAGTGAGAAAAATTAATATACCATCTGTAGGCTTTTTGGGGTCATGTTCTTAAATTTTCATTCTCCATCCCCTGCAAGTGTTTTCCCCTAGATTCTGTGTTTAGGTCTTATTTCCAAGGTTACCCCAGGCAGGCCTCCGCCTTCAAACTTCATCTTATTAATATCATAATACCACATTCCTTTTTTTCTCCTTACCATTGATTTCTACCTACCTTACTTTTATAGTTCACTTACATTCTTCTGTATTGTTTGTTTCTCCCACTAGAATGTAAACTGTCTGCAGCCAGCGATTACTGCTTGTATCTCCAGAGTCAGGGGGCTGCCCTAGCATGTAGCAGATGCTCCATAGAAGTTGTACTGATGAATGGAAGTGATCCACCTCAGCCTTGTGTTCTTTGTTACGTGGAAATCACTGTGTTTTCACACCCTGTTTGAATGCAGTCACTAATGTCTCTATCTTCCTCCCCACAGCCTTGCTGAGGGCGGGCACATCAGTGTGACAGACAGATCCCATCGGTCACTTGGAATCTACCTAACATTAAAGGGGTTGGTGCAGGGCTTTCTTCAATGAGCCATCCCTTTTGGAGTCATTTTCTCTGACAGAATTTTGATTAAACATCATCAAGGCCAATAATCCTTTTTAGTCTTTCTAAACTCTAGGTCTTTTTCTTCAGCTTTTTGGATAGTCAGTGATACTGATTTTAGCTAAAGTGCTTATTCCTTCTCCACATATTATAGTTCATTTGGGTAAAGAAACCAGCATGGCATTCCACTTATTGGAAGTGAGGAAAAAAACAATTGTGTGGGCAAGAAACATTCCCATGTGCTACACTCGAAGCCCTGGTGACGGACGTAAATTTCCTGAGCCTTGCCATTGCTTCCCTGGGCTCAAGAGGATCCAGGGTTTGTCTCATGTTAAGTTTTACTGCCCATGAAAGAAAATAACACCTCTGTCATGGCCAGTTAATCAGTATCTTTCACAGTGGACTTTTGCATATCTGAAACCAACCCATCCAAAGCCAGAAGAAATACTAGGGCTATGGGGGTAGAGATTTTATTCTGCCATGTTTCTTACAAGGAGAGATCAAGGGTCAATTCATTTCATACAATTACTTCAGTCGTTTTTCAGCTGGCTGAGAGACTTCACAGATCAAAAAATACAGTGGCTCTAAATGATTTCTGATATGTACAGTTCTAGTGTTTTTTTTTTTTTTTTTAATTCCCAGCATGTGGTACGATGCCTGCCAGAAACCATCTTTCCAGCTATTGACAGGTGGATTAGAAATCATCCGGGATGCACCCCACCGTGTCTGTGCAGGCTGGCCATTCAAATTGCTTACTGCGTGGTCTTCTTACGGCCTGCTCTGTACACACTCCTGCCTTACATGCTCTTCTTCTCTTCCAGTGTGGTGCTCATCTTGGGCACATATTTGATGATGGACCTCGCCCAACCGGCAAGAGATACTGCATAAATTCAGCTTCCTTGTCTTTCACACCTGGAGACAGCAGCAGCGCAGAAGGAGATGGCGGGGCCAGCAGTGCAGCCCAGGCAGATAAAGCTGAGCTGTAGAGCAATGGAGAGCGGTGGAAACAAAGTGTACTTAATGCACAGCTTATTAATAGCATCAAAATTGTTTATCTTCATAGATATATTTTTTCAAAAACTGTAAGGGAAGTTTTGAGCTATGATATATTTTCTTCTTTTGCTTAAACAGAGGCTCTGCCCATCCGTGTATTTTGCTATTGACTAGATCCAGAACTGTGTATAGCTTTTGCAAATGGAGTTGACTCTGTGAAACTTTTTCACAAGCCTTTTATGCGTTCTTTGGCGAGATTTCCTTTGAGCACACACCTTCTTTTGAGTTTTGTTGTTCTTTTCCCCTTAATTAAGAAGTAGAGGGTTACTGATCTTTGGGTGTAAAACTTGAGCTCTCTGGCTCAGGGTAGGGACCACGGCTGGGCAGTGTAGGACATCCACACATGGCCCTGTGGCACTGCACAAATCTTCCAGAGATGAGGACTGATGTCTTAAGAGACTGCTCAGCTTTGTGGAAAGTTTGAGCTAAGGCTGATTTTTTTTTCCTTCTAAAAGGGTGTGAATGTCTAAAGTTTTTCCTTATGTTAGATTGTTGCCAGATCTGAGGGGGTGCACTGAGTGTTATGGCAGAGAAATCAATATTACCTCACGATTAGGCTCTTATTTTATTTTATTTTCCATTGAAAACATTGGAATGTAGGACAACTGTAGGATTTTGACCCTCATTTTGTCTTAAGTTCCCTAAGAAGAACACCTGCCCATTGCCTTTTGTAAGACTTTCTCTTGACACCTAATACCAGCTGCAACCAGAAGGGCATTTGAGTAAATTCCTGTACATAAAGCAAAATATTGGGGACAGTACACTTCATCAGGACACCACAAGTGAGAGGAGAAAGCAGAGAAGACCAAGGATGGAGTCTTGAGTACTAAAAGCTCCCATGCTGGGCAGAAAGGATGACAGGATACTGCAGGTACTAGAGCCCAAAGCAGAGCCCTCATGCTAGAGCCTCAGGCAACCTCTGGGAAGATGTTGGCTGTTAACACAGAAATAACCAGGCACAACTTCCGCAATTAACAGTAATCTGCAATGTGCAAGGGACAAGCCATTTAGCCTCTCTGTGCCTATTTCTTCATATATAAACTGAGACTCACAATATTTGCAAAATGTGTTGATCCTCTCAGGGCAAACTTACATATTGCTATCCAATTAAGATCAGTGTTGTAAACTTAAACTGATCTGGTTTTAATTGCTACCAAGGCCAATTCTAGGCATTTGAAGTGGAAAGAGGCAGGGGCTGACTTAGCTGACTGATATGGAAACAGTTGGGCAGAGAGCCAGCACTTTTTCTTTGTAGCAGTATGGCTGGTTTTACTTTGAGAAGCTCTGTTCGGTTGCTTTATAACATTTAGCCTGGTAGGATGGGTGTCAGCGTGAACAGTAAGGCTCTCGTAGGTATGAACAGGGTGATACAAGTTGATATTGTTGCAGCCAGATGTGAAGGCTTGGTTTGTGGCTGACACATGTTGTATTCCTAACTTTGAATGCTAATCTTGAAATGAAAATTTTTTAAAATATTATTTTTCTAAATCTTTGATAGCTTATGAAAGACTTTTCTTGTAAGCACTAAGACAAAAATAAGAAAGAAGGACACTTGGCAATTTCAGAGGCACAATGGGAAACAAGAATGAAAAGTTGGGACAAATCAAAGTATGAGAGTGGCCATGTCCAGTTTTGAAACTATTTCATTGCTACTTCTTTCTCAATAAAATTATTAAAATATATAAAAAAGAGAAAGTGGCTGTGTCTGCCTGATTCATCCCTTTTCAGACACCTCAGGGATACTTGATGTCTAAGAACTGTTCCCTGTTACCTGTGCTGCAGCTTTCAAGCCTCAGAGGCATCGCATTCTTACTTGGATGCTCCCTCAGCTCCGGCTGTCTCACCCCAGGCCTGCAAGTCACCTAGGGATTTGTAGGCCTCCTTCCCTCTAGGCATGAGGGGTACAATTTAGGAACAGACTAGCCATCGGCATCCAGACTGTCCTAACCGTCTGTGCCAACTCCGCAAGGTGAGCAAGCACTTCTCAGCCACTCCAGCTGTATGTGGCCACCTCCCTCAGATGGGGGATGTAAGCCACAGTGTTGGAGCAGATGGAGGAGAGGGGAAGAGAAGCCTCTCACACCCCTTTTCTGTATGGTTCTTGTTCCTTCATTTTTATAGTAGGATTTAGCATTTCCCTCAAAAAATAAAAAAATGTAAAAATCACCCTCCCTTTCTAAACTTTAGTCAGTTTTTCAAGGAAAGCCAATTTTTCCAGCTCCAAGTTTAAGAAAAATGCATCATTCATTGAATGAAAAAGAAGTGGGGTGTATGCATGTGGTTTAATTCTAGATTGCATTTGGGTTTAAGTGATATCAAATTTCAGTATATTTCTGTCTTATGTTAAAGAAATATATTACTAAAACATCAGTGAGCAATGTCAGCTGTCGAGCACTAGATTTATTTGTGCAGGATATGGAGTGCAATGAACTGAGTCAATATGGCGAGGTGTATGTGATCTGTGGAATTACGCCATTTAGCATAGGAAACGCATGGAACTTTCCCTCTGCATTCCAGCATTACTCTACCATTGGAATACACGGGCTTTTACTATTACACAGGAAAGGATCCACGTAGCCGTGCAGAAGGATCTGAGGAGTGCAACAGGGTCTATCGTAATAAAGAGCATTTCTATTTATACTTTTCATTTCTTAGATACATTTAAATTCTTAATGCAAACAATATAGCAAGGTGAAAGGCTTTCAGTGTTGTGTTTAAAATATCTTGCTTTAAATAAGAAAAATGATGAAAGTGATGACCACTTAATTTGAAGGTCAAATGTTGTTCTTGACTTAGATATCTTTGTAATAATTTTTCTCCAGAGTTGAAAACTTTTGAAAAATGACGTGAAAATTTCATTAAGGATCCCTTTCTTATGTTTGTTGAATATAGGAATTATGTAATAAAATTTCTATATGAGTTGTTTTCTCTTTGATTTCTGAGGACTCCTGTTTTTCTTGACACAGTTGCATGGATTCTGAGACTGCTCTGTTTACCTCTTTGCTGAGTCTGTTGTGTGTATAGAAAGAAACCTTTCCTCTCAGCTAGCCTTTGGAAGTTGGGGCTCTGACAATAGGGCTAAGGTCTACTCTTTATGGCCCTAGCTGTGGGAAAAGCCTCTCGGGGCCTACAGCGGGGGGGAAGGAGAAACATTTGTAGAATCACTCAACTTCACCTCACCTCAGCAAAATCTGCAGCAGCTTGTGTATGTTTTTGTGCTTAAAACACAGACCTTGGGGAGTTCTGTCCTGATCACTGTGGGTACAAATGTAAGAGTGATACCATGCCGATGCTGAGGCTTCTGGTAAAGTCTGACAGGAAGCTTCCACAGCGGTCAAGGGTTGGTCTTTAGGGAGGTACGTGCAGAGTTCTCCCCTACTCACAGATTAATATCCATCTTAAAAGTCATCTCTGCAGGTGGATTTTGGTATAGTACTTGTTGAAATGTTTCATATTGTATTTGCTTTGTTTTGTTGATTTATTTATTTGGGGGAAAAGAAGTAAAGTAGTGATATCCTTGTTTTTCAATCAGCTTTAAGTCATATTCCTGGGACCCTAGTCCTCAGGCTGCCACATCAGCACCACCTAGAGACTTACTGGGAATGCAAATGTTAGTCTTCATCCTGGACTTAATAAAAATTCGGGGCTGTGCCTTAGCAATGTGTGTTTTAGAAAGCTATTTGTGTGATTCTGGTGTTCAAGGTGGAACCACTGCCTTGAAACTCATAGTGAGAAAACTTTAGTTAATATTCACTGTAAAAGTATTATTATCTGACTCTCAAAGTGGCCAATTACATATTTATTTATTTATTTTTATGTATTTAGTACAGGGTCTCACTACACAGATCGGACTCATAGTGATCCTCCCGTTTTCAGCCTCCCAAGCTCTGGGATCACAAGCACACACCACTACACCCAGTTTCAATCACCATCTCAGTGCACCCTGGGGCCAGAGCTGGCATGGCATGTGGGGCAGAGGAATCAAACCCCAGTCCCTGTGCTTTGCCTAAGTAGGTGCTATAGTCTGCTAAGCTATTCAGCCGTCCCTAAAAGTGACTTATTTTATCATTACTAGTTCTTGTGCAGGGATAGATCAGAAAGATTTCTGAAAACTTCATGTCTTACATCTGTTTCTATTTTTCCTTGTCCACTCATCTTGTTGTGGAGGATCCATCTGTCCTCATTAAAATCACCTTTATTCGTATTCATATTTCTAGGCTGAACACTCCACCAAAGTGTTCAAAGGGCCTCTCTGGAACCCCAAGATGTCCATGGCAGGGTTCTGCCTAGTACATCCTAGAGTTAGAGAACAGAACTCAGTGTAGAAATTTATATGGAATCTTCTCCATCTCTTCTGCTGCTTTGTACCTGTACCCTTCATCAGCATCATCATGGTTTGTGTTATTTGTTTTTTCAGTACTGGGTTCAAACCCAGGCCTTCTCCAAGCCCATAATCCTGGTATTTTTACCCTGCAAGACATTTCTGCAAAGGTGCCACATACTGGAATGTCAACTCATTATTTTGATCATAAAGCTAGTATTATTACTCATAGTTGTTTGAAATTGAATATATTACTCATATCTTAACAACAGGATGACCTGTAGATGATTTCAGCATACAAAAAAAAAAGTTGAACTTAAAAACTATCCATGGGATAAACTCATAAGTACCCACCAACTTCTAATCAGCATTCATAAAGTTCCATATATCTGATGAAAATCTTACCATTTTGATTAGGAGCCTAAAAAATGTCAAATGCCATCGAAGATGATTCTGGCATTTTCTTGGCCAGTTGTCCCCAGAAAGTATTCTTGTCATAGACCACTTTCAGAAGTGCTGGCCTGAAGGTAACTGTAGGCTCCACATCCTGGGGGCCACGCTCCTCTCCGTATTGGTCCAACTGGAGGGAGTGTACATACTGCTGACACGAGCACGAGGCTCCAAACCAGGCTTCCTGAACACCACACTCCACTTGCACCTGAATGCCTACCTTATGAG